GATAGCTTCCAGCGCGTCAGATTGTCTATAGGGAGAAAAATGTCCTGTGTCGTGGACACCACCCTCGGTTACCATTGGCAGGCCACAGTCATCGTCCGTTGGCCTGGTGCGGGAAACTGGCGCATGTGGGCCTCGTATACGACCTGATCTTTCAAACACAGACATAAGGATTTAGTACAAAAGGGTTTGAGCGGTTCACGTCTCCCATGCGTTGGAATTTCAGAGGTCACATTAAGAAGGAGGCGTTGACTGGTGGTCTGCGAATCAGGCTGCAGTCACTCCACACACAGTCGCACAGTGGGCTGAGTGCGAAATCTAACTTTAATTCCTACGTGGCAACATTCCAAGTCACAGCGCTTAACACACCTTGATTTTCTCACACAATACAACCTGCGAACAGCTGAGCGACATGGTTGTACTTGTGAAACCTCCGGTGACATTTATTGAGATGGATATTTGACACGTGCCAGCTGGCATTTGCAGAACCATTCTTAGGTCCCAGTTGGTTGAGAATTAGCACCTATTTATTAAAACCACGATTAACCATACGAGGATAATCCTTAAAATATAGCTTTTTGGCATCGGGCTTAGTTAATTAGTCCATGGGCAAACGTATACAACCCCGTGCAGCACTGAATTAATTTTCAGGAATTTGTTTATTTTCGACCAACGGAAAATACTGCTTTTTATCTCATTTTTACCTCCTTATGTAAACGTAGGGAGTCGTTCTTTGAATAAATCGTTTTTATATTTTGTATACTATATCGTCTCATGCCATCGTGTGATCTATTTAATAAGGCTGAAAAGGAAAACGAAGCATTCTCTCCTGTTTTTATAAGAGAATTTTCGATAAGATGGGCCTGGGTAAGATGCAGTCCTAATGTCTCAAACGGACCTTTTTGCGGCTAATAACCCTTAGCAAAATGGACGACGGACTCCCTACCAATCGCCACTGTTCATGTGTAACCTAAACAACTACGAGACATTGATCCCTGACGCGTGAAAACATATGCGAGTTCTAGGCTCTTACAATATACATATATATAATTCAGGAATTCAGGTTTAGCAAATGAAATTTTTCGAATACTTATCCTCAGGTAAAAACAATATTATAAGCGACGGTAGGGTTAAGACCTTTAAGCAACTTATCAGTATTAATCACGGGGAGCGGTGTTAAGGGATCAAAGAGTTCGCTTAAAATCATAAATAGGGAACAGAGAAGAGGAAGGGAGAAAAGGGGTCCGACCATTACTCCCTCTCACCCCGGCGTTTCTGTTTCGCGTCGTACTCGAAATAGTCAGGGTCTGATCCTACGATCGTAGGATATTACAAACATAGTATCGCAACATTTCACGCAAATATTTTGAGTGATAGTCATGCATATTCCATTCAAAAAATTTCGACCATTCTTTAAATCACTTAGCACTATCTTTATTCATCATGGCTAACCACAGGAAATCATTTAGGACATGCGAATATGTAGGCCAGGACTGGGTGGCACAAAGCCCACGCATACAATTCCTGCCTTCTCAAATAATCTTATAAATGTGTGTTTATTTTGAGGTTTATGGTACCAGAGGGGGGGGATTGCTGGACACGTTCTAGGAAGTAAAGTTCACTGGGAGCTTGAGAATAACCCCCAGTCTGCAAGCACTTCACGGACTGGTTATCTTTAGTGCTATCTTTTACGAAAGAAAGAAATGGGGGAACAGTTATAACCTGTTATCTGATGCTGGCGCTAATTGCTCCCATCCGATGGACTCTACAGCATTCACATCCTGCACCTCCAACGTATCACGTCTACTCAACCCCTGGGTGTAGAGTGTCAACTTCCAAAGTGCGCAGTTGAATCTCCGAGTCAACTTTCAGCCAAAATTCGCGCAATTTACACCTGCAGGCAGGTAAAGACCAATGAGAAGGTAAGTTAGGGGCAGAGATTCTTGCAATCGGGGGGCGAAGAGCGAAAAAAATATGGAACCCTGAGGGGGTTGATTCGATCGTTTCCATTTAGGACGTAAACTAAACAAGCTCGGCTGCAAGACTTTTTTGTTGACCTCATAGGTACTTTTTCCTTCCTTGTAGTGTCCGCCTCCGCTCTTTCGCTCAGGATAGATATGCCTCAGCCAACCGTCTGGCAATGGTCGTCCACATCTTCTCATTCCCTTCTCCTTCCTCCTCCTCCCTCGGCCGCTTCTTCAGCGGACGGCTTGAATGTGACCGAAAGGCCACAGACAGCTTGTGAGGACTACAAACCTTCTGCAGCTGAGACAAAATACTTACTTCAGGAAAATCTGATTAACACCTCCCCCCACCCAGTTTGCAGTGAACTGGACTTTCAGATCTCGGAACGCAGCCACGAGGCTCGCGAGGGCTGCCTGGCCACTCAACCCTCCACACCCTTGGATCTTATTTCACACACTTGTCTAAGGACAGGCAAATTGCTCTGGCGGCAGGTTTCCTGGTTCTGCACATTCAAATCCATCCTCGTCAGTCATCGCCTCTCCTCATCACTACTTGCATGGACTTTAATCCTTCTCATCCTGGCCAGTTACCTTACTACTTGTCTGGCCTCACCCATAGATTCCGCCGGCGGAATTAATTTTACCCAGCAGTGGAATACTTCCCTCACTCAGGTTGTCACTAGGAGTCCTATATCACAGGAGCCTATCCACCAGAGTGTGGATGAAGACGACGAACATAATGCCTACAACAGGGACCTTTTTCAGGATCAAATTGATCTTTCTGACGACCTTTCTTTGTCCTACCTACAGGACGCGTCTTTGTCTGGACATGTGGATGAAAGTGATCTCAGTGAGGATTCTGAACACCTTGAGCTGCAGACTGGAACCTATTTTGTTCAAACTGTTGATGGCTTATTGACAGGAATTGAGGGTTCGTTTCTATTCCCTATCAGACGTTTTTTTTACTAAAACGCACGTTAACTTTGAAAAAAACGTATGGGAGGTCATCTGAAAGGCTCACTTGCTGGGGATTCGCATACATGACTACTAATTACATTATTATCCCTGGCATTCGTACGCACCCGAATATTAAGTAGGACGAAATTTTTCAATTATAGTTTATCAGAATATACTTTTACGAACGTTTAAATGGAAATCTTACAGGAGGACCACATGAGCATTTGGTTAAATGACTGTAAAGCGGCATTAAAATAAATATTATGTGGTAAACGGTATTCCCATAGTCTGTTTACTCAAGAACTAACGTGGTAGCTCAGGTTATATAAAAAGCCGTAATACGCTCGTGAGCTACGTACAAACTTCTTGCCGAGAATATTGTGGCACGCTTTATGAATACCTCCGCTGGTGTGCTGCATGAGTTAAACGGAAGAAGTGGCAAAGTAGCGAGAATCACGATGAAAGAGATACAGTCGCTTTAACAGAATCTACTCTGTACACTAATATACATGGTTAAAGCCGCTGCCTGTAGAGCGAAACTAATGAATTCAACGTCATCGCATTATGCCCTCTGAGTTCTTATCAGCAGTAACGTAATATTCTCACAAAGAAACAGAACAAATGATGCTTAATGAAAGTCACCACCTACTTACCCCTGCCTTAAACAAATATGCACAAGTATACAATGAATTTTGAGGCTTCAATAACGGTAAGATTGAATGACCTTCGCCTTTTATTTGATGATGAACACGGATTCCGACAGGGTGTGACGAAATAAGGCTGTAATCAGTATTATTTTGCCAGGCACAGTGACCTTGGTCGGTAGTTGTATTTTGTGATTGTGCGTTTTATTAGATTAAAAGTACTTTAATTAAAACAATAGGGGCTTCTGTGTTAACTGCAGACGTTACAATTAAATAAAATTTTATGCCACAGTTGACAGGTGAACAGTTATTTCTATTTTTCCTTTGGCCTGTCAGAATTGGTAATAATAAATAAAAGTAAATGCAATGATATGAAGTACTATTGCTGGCATACCACAAAGTTAGCAGTATATCCATTCTATAGTAGCTAGTAGTAGTCGGTCATAGCAAAAACACGGGTGCTGAACAAACCCAGGCTTAAGCCTAGATCCTGTGCATTGTCGATAAGATTAAATTCAATCATCCCTTAACTTCACCTATTGAAAACACCTTTTGTTGGGGCGGATCGGAAAAAGGTTGGGTCGTAATAGAGTGGTATGTACTGGTCTCTCCAGCCTAGAAGTCAGAAATGAACCACTTCGTCGTACCTTGGAGCGCTGGGTCTGATAATTTTTGAAATTTGAAATTTTTAAATTTTTATTGTTGTTATTCAATCTATAAGTGCCACAAAACGCCTAAAACTGCATAGACATGCCTATTTTACTGTATGACTTACATTGGTCATGGATAAATCACCGGAACTCTTTTCTTACATTATAAAATGTACTATGATTGAATAAACCAAGACCTGGATTCGAGAAAAATTGCGCATTGTTGTTGCATCTGCCACCTTGCTTTGTTCAGAACCCTTACCCTAGTTTTCAGTTCCTATTCATTCTTTTGTGATATCCTTTTACGAGCAAGCGTTTTTATGTTGCTCATTATGATTTTGCGGTTCACAGCTGAATAACTTGTATATGGGGACAAGGCATTCAGCTGCAGTTTTTCAAAAGAAGCTGTTTGTTATTTTCTGCTTAAAATTGAGAAAGAGCCTCACGTCCTGATCTTTCTACTTAAGTGTGTGCTTGATAGTGCGAGCATTTTTTTCTCGAATTCGAGACTTCTGTTGGTTGAAATCCACACTAACTAACCACTGGAAATTCGAAGTTTGTCAAACAAGAAAATGTCGCCCTTTGTAGATGCAAATAATTTTTCGAGTAGTGAGTAGGTTAAAATAATCATTCAAATACAATTGGTTTTGGCTGACCGAATTCGTTTGTTGAGCTAACTGGTTTGCGAAAGGAACACTATTACATCCTTGTGCGCCCAAATTTATGCATTCCAGTCATAAATAATATCATCCTTTTCTGCAACGTTAGCATTTTCATTTGAAGGCAAGATAACACAAGCACAAAAAACTATAAGAAGTTTAGACTAAAAAATTGTACTTTCCAGACTTGTATCGCCAACGTTTGATTGGCTTATACCCCCATAAACCATTGCTCTATAGGTTGCTCTATTACCTCTCTCAGTGGATACCAGTGTGACGACGAAAGCCCACGAAGACGAATAAATGGTTCCAGTGCTAAAACGATCTTCTTTAATACACATATCTTTATGCATAAAGAGAACTTCATTTGCATAGCATTCATAAAAACACGCTGTCGTTTGCCCGCGACTCTCGTCGGGGCTTGACGCTGTGGTTTTTTGTAATACCTGCCACGTTTGGATTTTGTGTGGGCGATGCCTAGCGTAAATAGCTCATTTTGGCACACGTGGCAGCTGAAAGGCTGGTTAATTTTAGTCGTTCAGATATAGCATCAAAGAAGTCCAGATGAAAAATCTATTAAATGCTTCCATCAGATCGCACAAAAACTATCTCGTTACTAAAAGGGAGATTGTGCGTTTTGGGAAGGTCTGTAATATCTTCTGAACAGTCATCTTAATTATTTAATTAGTTGAATATATATTGAATGAAATAGATCCGACAGAGCCAGCCATACTCAATCTTAGGGGTCGGACCCCCCGAGATTCGAACTCGGGACCTGGGCTAAGGGGAACTAATTATTCCTCTATTAGACCTACGAAGCACATATTTTCATCATATTCCCGATCTCAACCAACAAAGTAACGAGTCCGTAGTCCAATGGTAGAGTAGCAAACTCAATAACCAAGTGTTCCAGGTTCGAATCTCGGGGCTTCCGACCCTTGAGATTGAGTGTGGCTGGCTGATGACGGCTAACAAGCCAGAAATGGTCATTCCGGTCTCCCTTTAGCTTTGTCGGCTCCATTTCAGCCTATCATGATAGCCACTATATGAGTGGCTGCGCCGCTCTAATTGTGGGCTCCAGGGCAAAACGGAACTTAATTTTTCGTACAATAGATCGGCGAAGCACATGCGTTAATATATTAAATAATTAAAAGTATTATCTCTAAGGAAGTTTAATGATACATCTTATTGACAGCACAGGTAACGGTTAAAAGCCTAGCCATCTGTTTCACCGATAGTCTGCCGCTGCAAAACACGATTGCGAGGGGTTCGGCTAACCGAGAGGTTATGTCCTTTTTGTCTTCTTGCATAGTGAACATAACGTTTTACGCAACCGATTGCAGTTAAATTTAAATGAGCATGCCCCTTTGAGACTCGACTAGAAATGGCGATGCGATATTTACTTAAAAATGTAAGCCAATTTTAACGTTATGAAAGAATTTTTAAATTTTGGATAGTTTATCAAGCAACCAATTTCAGAAGCTCAAAAAATCTCTTAAACCGCTCGTTTGGATTTAAAAATCGGCAAACCCTAAAAGGTGCATAAAAGTAAGATGAGAGCTCTGGCAAAAACACTGAAAAAAAAGGAAACACGGGTACGCTCTTCGACACTGGGCCCAAAGCTCTACCGTGCATGAGAATTTTAGTACCAATCTTTATAAATCTCTAGCTCCAATCAGAAAAATCATTCGATAAACAGACCATTAAAAGTACTACAAAAAGGCCAAGTCCAATGTCTCGGCGTTTTTGTTTGGCCACGTTATTTACATTTTTATTACGCACAATTCACTCATAACTGTCATCATTCAGACGAACGAGACTTGATGTGGCTTTGGAAACAAAAATTTACTTTGGAAGAATGTAGGAAGCAGTCACAGGGAAGCAGCGGGTAGCCAGTTTCGTTTTAATTTTAATTTTTAACCTTAAGGTGAATATTGATTGCTTACGTGCGTATAAAGTATAACTAGCATCTGAAGTTTGGGGGAAAATGGTCGTCTGAGGTTTTATTACACTTGGCATGATGGAAAGCAGATGACTATCCCAACTGCTGGCACATATGAGTGCTAGAAGAAAAACATGCACGGCTGAGGAGAACATATAGTCACCTCCTTGCAGACACTGTCACATGTCTTAGATCAGTGTCGGTCTGAGGGGTCATTGACGGCTTATACCCAATCACTAGTGTTCTGGTTGCGTTCATCCACCCTGCCTTACTTTACCGCACCAACCGTGCGATTGTTAACCGTATTCAACGTTTAAAACATGTCCATTCTTGCAGCATTCAAGCACGATTTGAACCCTATAGCTCAATAGTAAACCTCGTGGCATATTGCTTCTTCGGCAAAGGCTGCCTACAACTATGGTTTGCCTAGCCTGCAGCTGTGAATAGAGCAACCAACTACTCAGAATAAAGGGGGAAAACGTACTTCATGTTATGTCTTCTACTTTGGCCAGTGGTTGAAAACAGTAAGGGTGATTGTCAAACACATTCTCATACATTATTCAGATCAACTGCTTACACTCCTGAGAGTTGGAGCTGAAGCTTCAAAATAAATACTTTCAAGCAGTGATTCTTATTTTCAGACAAAAATACAGACAGTTACTTATAAGACAGTTCACTTGACTTATTTTCTGATTTTCCTGGCAATAGAGTCGTTTTTAACGTTATTTTCGCCAGCGTTTACCTCCGTGGTAGTCAGTAAAGACTTTATTAGGGGTACGGCTTTCCCAGTTACCCATTCTTAGTCGCGTGGTCTGGGCATTTTTTACGTTCTTGTTTGGCTGCGTTTTATACCCTGCATGTTTTCATAATGAATACATTTTTATTAGGGGCTGGAAAATTGTTAATTTGCCGAAGCTTAATTGCTGATTATGGTCATCTGTAAGCACAACTTTTAAAAAATTGGCAAAACTGTCTAGTGAGGCCCTCTAAAAATAAACTATTACGGAATTCGTGGTTAAAGCTTAAATACTTGATTATGGATTGCAAATGCGTGTTAAATGGAGTAGAAAGTGAACACT